CAACCTGCTTTGTTTTGAATATCTTATTTTCAGATTCTTGTAACCCACCCAGGACCCTCACAGTGAAGAGCAGGTAAGAAGTAATAACAATCCAATACTAGTGCTACTTAAGTGCAGCATAGTGGCAAATTTAGAAGTATGGGTTCCCTCGTGATAGTCACAGCCACACCCCTCCCAAGATTATACAACTTTCTAAGATTATACAATAACCTTATTACTTACACAATAATAGTGATTAGGGGTGAACTACAGCAACCAGCACAGAACTCCATAATTGCACTACCAGGAACAAATTATTTGGAGTGCTCCACTATCTTCTTCTGGTGTGACTTAACTCCTGTTAAGTTCCAGGGTTTGGAACATAATTTTCTCCCCATTCTCTTGAACCCAAAAAGCGCCCCATGCCTTTCCAGTGTCCTTCAGTGCTTAATTTTGGAGCGTGCAGTGGCTAAAAAGCTTCACCTTCATGCTGATGAGGCGGCCCTAGGAGGCTGGACCTGGCAGGGACCCCTGCAGCAGCTGAAACAGGAACAGGCCTTGAGTCCCAGCCTATGCACCGTTGCTCAAGAGTAAACCTCCTGCAACTGATGAACTGATTAATTTGGGCCCAGTGGGTCTAATCTCAGCGAAGCTGGGTGCAACTCAGAGGCGACCCGCTGAAATGAAAGCAGACATGGCCAATTTTAAGAGTGTTAATTCCAGCATGTCCATTGGGAGCCGCCTATTACGAATAGCAAGGAAGCCGCCTTCGCCACAGGAGCCTCACGAGGAGCAGCGCTTTCATTATTAGGGCGACTGAGGTGGGGCTTCCATTTTAAAAGTGGCCGCTGCCTATTTTAAGCCCGCCGCGCCTGCGGAGCCTCCCGCCACCTCGCTTCCCTCCCCGCCTCCCTGTAAGGTAGGGCAGACAAGCAGGCAGAAAAACCCACCTGCTCCCGCTGCTGTATCAACGCCGCCGCTTCTTTCTCCTCCTCGACCACTATCCGCTCCGTCTCCATGCCGGCCGGCTCACTCATCCTGGCTTCCCTTCCTTTCCCGCGCGCTGAAGCGGCTTCCTGGGCTCCGCGCGGGGCGGGGAAAAGGCGCCAATTCAGCTCCTCCTCCTCCTCTTCCTCGTGACCCGCTCAGCTGTGTCGCTTCCCGCCTTTACTGCCTTCTGGCCTAGGGCTACTCCTAAAACCTTGCGCGCCCGTTGTGATTATTTATTTATTTTTTAAATTCCAATTCATTCTGTGTAAATTCGAAGCGGGTTGCAACGAAAGACGAGTCAAACGCTGAAAAGCCACCTGCAAATGCAGCACCACGCTAAAATGTGGGACATTCCTCCCTCCCTCACATACTGTACACCCCCAAATAAGTAAAAATGCCGCCATTCTTGCTTCAGCCTTTCGGGCACAAAGCGGTCGAGAGAGCTGGTTGACTTTGCATATTTATTATTAATAAAATTTATATACCACCTGGTTGTAAAAAATTAAAAAGCACACGCACACAACTAGGCCCTTAAAGCGTATAGTTTTGTTTGTTCATTTATTGCATTTTATCTTGCTTTTCCTCCAAGGAACTCAAGGCATAATTCTCTTCCCATTTTATCCCTACACCAACTCTTGTGAGGTAGGTGTAGCTGAGAGGCAGTGACTAGCCCAGTCACCCAGTGAGCTTCATGGCTGAGTGGGGGAGGAGGGATTTGAACTTGGGTCTCCCCAAGTGAATGACCAGCCTTGCCTCAAGAACAGATATGGAGAGACTTTACTCAAACAGCTTTGAAAAGGCACAGGAAGTCTTGCAAAAGGTAAAGTCTGGGGCTCAGACATCCAATTTAAAAAGTCCATGTGGCAGCTATTGTGTGGAGGTGGAGAGAGAATGAATAGCAATGCCAGGTTTATCTCCTTGGTTATAAGAATTTTAAGGTCTCAAATATAGAATATTCATAAATGCACACATATCTGCATATATGAACCATGTGTCTGAAATAGTATGGGAGAGCAATCCTGAAGCCATTTTGACTCTCCCAAGTGAAGGGCCATTAAAATATTGTTCTATATATGATCCCAAAACCTCTTTGAGGCATTTTTTCCTCTCTCATGTTATCCCTAAGGGGGGGGGGGGAGGTTTTTACACCAGCCAGAAGAACAAGGCTTTAGATGTTACAGTGAAAATAGGCCTCTCTCAGGAATGTCTGGCTTAGGTGGGTAGAGATAAGAGCAAGGTTTAATGGGTGTTATTGTAACACCAGAGGGAGGGAGGCTGAAACAGGAGGAAGGAGGGGCTGGAAATATGTGAAATAAGGAAGTTGATCCAAATATGGAAAAATGAAACCTAATTTTTATGGCATTTCTTGTAAAACACGTGCTTTCTCGGAAATCAGATGACTGTCCATTCTACAGGGTATAAGTGGCTGGCACGCCCAGAGGGGGGGGGCAGACATCGGACAGACGCTTGTCTGTACCATTTTTGTCATGACAAAATAAACGATCCTTTTACTGCTGTCGTTTTGATTCCTTGCAGTGTCTCTGATGCTCCTAGTATCAGATAAAGAAAAAACAAAGGAAGGGTCCTTTACAATGACCTCAAATATTCCTCTGCAGTAAGGGAGGCAAATGGGGACTGACAAATCCTGCTTTAAGGGCATATCTGTGTATGAATAGGGTGAGCCTGTGACCCGGATTGAGGAACTAAGTATTAACCATCACAAAAGAATGGCAAGAGACTGCCCAGGTAACGCAATCAGTAACCATTAGTAGGTATCCTAGCAGACAGGATTTTTGCCATAGGCCACCTCCTTCTGTGATGTGTGTATGATGTTTTGAGGGGTGGTGGTCTTGGGCTACAGGGTGGGCAATTTCAAAAAACTGCTTGCGCACCATTGTTCAGGGTTCTCCCTCCTGCATGTGGTGAGTGGGGAGCCTGTTGCAACTGTTCCTTGAATAAAGGTCAGGCTTACCATCCTCTTTGCTTCTCAATATACTCTTGTTGGCCTCTGTTATTTTCTCCTACCGATAGGGAACCCACTTAAGGACTCTATACGAGCTCCAGAATACCCCATAAGGGAAAGGGAGCAGTTTTTCTTATAACAGCATGCATCCTGCTTGCCCTGGAAGAATGCAGCCAGAAATGGCTCCCACAAACTTCGGCTTGGAACCTTTGCACCTGTGCACCAGTTACAAAGTGCTGGAGTTTGGCAGCACATGAAGAAAGGTTATGGTGGTAAAATAGGGCAAGAATAAGCCTTCTGGGGAGCCAAGGGGTGGCTTTGCCAACTAGGATTGCAAGTAACTAGGATTGCAATATACAATAACCTGAGCAGTGAGGAATGGCAATATGCAATACTGCTGTATTTCAAATTTGGATGTCCAGGCTAGAGTGAGCTATGTACTCATTGCTAAAACTATACATTTTACAGATTTTTTTCCTAAGTTTTCTGCCGAGTGGGATGGCAGCAAGCCTGCCATCCCTTCAAAAGATATTTTCCACCCTTACTTGTCACCAACATGCTTTGATGTTTCCGCAGATTAATGTTTAAATTAATTTTGTTTGCTTGGCTCTTCAGGTAACATGTATATCTTAATATACTGTGACAAGACTTGTGTTCTCATTACTTACAAAAAGACAGCATCAGTATTTGCATTCATATGCATTTGTTCTGCAAGGCCTGACAGAACACAGGAAGGGGGTTCTTATCGTGACAGCTTACAGAACACCTGCCATGTTTGCAGGAGTGTAACTTAAAAAGATATTTTAAGATAACTAGTTGAACAGCCGCTAGCCAGGTAGGTTAATGCTGACAAGCTGAGGGATGCAGTTTAACTTGTACAGCTGCACAGTGAAATCTGCAGTACATTAGAATTCATCTGGACTAGTGGTTCCCAGCCTTTTTGATATGGTGATCCAGAAGTCCAAATTTACTTAGGTAAAATGACCAATTTGTTTATTGTCACATAAATATTAGACCTTAGGTGTTTGGCAGCCATTGGTTTGGAGCATTTTAAATACATTTACCTGTTCTAGAACACTTACTTGAGATATCCTAGCAAAAAAATGTGTTTAATACCTCTAGTCACGTGGTTAATGAGGCTATGTTTAATGGGGAAACCCAGCCAATAATAAATATATTATATTATATTATATTATATTATATTATATTATATTATATTTATTTATTTATGAATGAATGAGTTAACTGAATTGAGTACCAATTCAGTTACAAGTTTGGAGAGAGAGAGAGAAACTCCACACAGATCTCATGCACTACTTGCAGCCACAGAATAACGGAGTCCACATTTTGAGGATTCATCTTGCTCTTTGATATAATAAAGGATAATTTTGAACACCTAGAGAGGGAACTGAGCATCGATCAGCTCTGCACTGTGGCAGAATCCATGTGGAGCAGGTTAAGGCAGATGGGAACCCTGGCAAGCATCCTGAGAAATATTTTGGAGAGGTTGAAGGAGGCTTTCTCAGACAGGCCCTGAGGGCTAAACCTGGGAGTCAGGAAGGCCTTGGGATGTGTTCAGTACACTTACCCAAAACATGCAAGCCTCAGCTAATATTACATGAAGTTACTAGTCCTATTAATCAGTTAATAACATTGGGGTCTTTTTCTTCAAGAGTTTGTATTCATATATTTAATTATTGTCGTCTGTGTAAAAAGTTCTGCAAAGACAAATTTCAAAACTCTAGTATTCACAGCTGTTCAGACCAGAAGCTTGTCTGTTAACATACATTTTGCAAGGTTTCTTACCATTAGGAATAAAATAGTCTCATGCTTCATTACCTATCAGTGGGCTGCTTTGAATGTTTTAAACAAACAAAGTAAAATGAAATAGATGTGGCATGATCCACAAATGCATGAAGTTCTCCATCTCTCATGGACAAAATGTTCAGAATAAAATACTGAAATCAGCAAGCTATTTGGGGAAATGGGGACCAATACAGAGGACTTATATACCACCAAACACTTTATTAGCGTGGCTCACAAGGTGCCTTGCTAGAAACTCTCACAGTATGGTTCAAGCAAATGTATTTATTAACATTAGGCATGAGTGTTACACCTCAATAAAAAATTAGTTAAACAGCTTCCATAGAAATTAAAAAGTCTCTAAGGATATTACAAAAATGAGAAAGAAGGCTTAAGGTATTGTCTGCTTTGTGGTTTTGGCGGTGCCATAATTGCAGGCCTTTTGCCAATTCCTGGCTTGGCAGGAGGAATGTAAGATGTGGAACTTTTGGAGTTAGATGATGTCTTCTTGCCGGTTCTGTAACCCCTAGAAAGTTAGAAAGGGAAATATAGAATAGGTCATTGACCCAATAATTTTGTAAACATGCATATATACTTTTTCTGTTGTCTCAAGAGCCTTATGAGATTTAAATCCCTAAAAAACAACCTCCAACATTTCTGCATTTTGGCCAAATGTTTCATTTGTACATTTATAAGGTGGAGAACAGAATACCAACGTGATTTCAGTTTGGCATTGGGGCTCTTGACCTCACTGCTGAGACACTAACCCTTTAGCACCAGCACATCCCTCTCTTCTAGGTGCTTGGAATTCTCCCAATTGTTTTTGTCCATTTCATCCAGCCCTACACACCCAGTCTTACACATAAGTAACGTTCCACAAGGACACCCTGAAAGGGACAGCACTTCCAGGCTGGCATCACAGCTTTGTCAGTGAAGATTTTATGGGATGGCTTAAAATTAAGTGATCCCATGTTGCTACTATGGCAATGTGCTCCTCACTCCTTGTGAGGTCTTCACAATAAAATTTTTACTTTACTGTAAAAGTGTTCTTAATTGGCACCGTAGAAGGGCTTTAATCCCATTGTTATATCTGGCTTACTTGCCACCAAAGGATTAAAAAACAACCAGCCATACCCTTTAGAACGAGCCTGCTGACCTCCAGACCTCATTTTCTTCTTTGATTCTCTGAAGAACTGAGGCTTTTTTCTCTTCCTTCCCTTGTTGGGTCTGTTGTGGAAATAGGCAGATGTTGTATGCAGCTCCTCCTCTGCTTCATCAGTACTGGAATTTCTTTCGGCGTCGGCTTCTGTAGCCGAAAGAGGCTTGTTTTCCGCTGTTGAAACAGACCCAGGTGTCTTTAATCCTGCGGCTTTGGATGTTGCCAAACAGAGACCATAACCCTGCAGCTTCTCCGCTTCCCCTTAGCACAGATAGTGTTATGATGTAAAGCAAGAGAATTGCTGGTCTGAAAACCACTTCAGGGTGACAGTGCCATTTGCACCACTGTCACGGAAAAAGGAATATGTGAGCAGTCTGCATATATGGCTGCTGGCATGGTTTGAGTTGCTTCCATCATGGGGGGCGGGAGGGGAGTATCATCATGACTGAAGTGACCGAGATTGCATTAAAAAGCCATTTCAAATAAAGGGCTCCCCGAGGAGTTCCTTGTTCCAATGGTAATCATGTAGAGAAAAACAATAACTGAAGTGACTACATAAATAAATAATGTGCATAACCGGAAAATGTTTCTAACAATGCAGAAGTCACACCATACCTGGCAGTGTCCATTCATAATATTTCTGCAGCACTTCAATGATTTCTGCTCCATACTTCTCTAACTTGTCCTCTGTAACACCATCAATCTGAAGCAGAACTGCAGGGTCTGGAGACAGTGTCTCTGGAGACCGGGAAAGAAAAACAGATCTTTAAAATGGCTTGACATCTGAGAATGTCTGGTATAAGCAGGGACAAGGATACATATGCTGAACATTTTTTGTTGTTGAAAAGATTGATCACCACACAAGGCGGTGACTTCTTTTACAAGCAGAACAGTCCATTTGCTCTCTATCTTCATACAAAAAGAGCACAGCAAAATCTCTCAGTTCTGCTATTAAGAGAGTTGTTCTGAAATTCCCATGCAAGCCATGCCACCTGGCAGACACCAGGAATATCACAGAGGGAAAGAGTTACAGTACAACCATGTCGGGGGGGGATATGCTCTGGGGATGGCGCATATATGCAAAAACACATACACCTGAACCACTCCCTTGGGATCACCCCTGCATGACCATCCTTACACCTTCCAAGCAAGGCAGAGCAGTTTTAAGCTCATGCTTAGCTTACTGGGCTCAGGAACGCTCTCACAGAATCTTGCTGGGCCAGCTGAGTAAGGAAGTCTGAGAGCTTAAAAGCTCTTTCCACGCCATGAAAATGCAGCGTAAAAGGAGCTTGCATGCAATTAATTTGCAGGATTTCAGCTGGCTGGCTTTCAACCACACAAGGTTGAAATTGTGCATACAAGACGCAACGGTACTGTACTTCATTCACAAGACACAGACTTGAACCGTTTCTCCATGAGCACCAACATTACCTGCAATTCTTTTCAGCGTGGCAGTGTTAAAAACATTGAAGTAATGGACATCAAACGCTTTCCCAAGGTTTTTGCAGACATCTGTGAGTTCTGAGAGACATTTCTTAACCATCTCTTCCCGCTGGGAAATTTTGATCACTGATGCCCTTTGGTGCTTGCGAATGCTGCTGGCACTTTCCGTTTCATGGAACTCTACCTGAAGGAAGCAGCAGAAGAAAATCTCACTAATGTACAACTGAAACCAAGATGTGCAGTTTCCTTCTATACAGCTTGAGACTAATGACAGCAACACAGGAAGAGGATGAAGGCACCCATTAGAGAAAAAGGAGCACCTCCTTTTTCAGCCACTCTCTGCAAGACCATAAGATTTTCTTAACTATTTTCCTGGGTGGCTCCAAGCTCCTAACACCTACTTGAGGAGGAGACAGGTCATGACACTTTAGGCAAGTAGATGAATTTAGCTCTTACACACCTGCAGAGATCCATTCAGCACAGCATAAGCTTTCTCACCAATCTGGACATATGCAACTGCTTGGTCATTAGCAGTGATGTAAAGGTCTTCCTCTAGAATCTTGTCCAGTACCAGTTTCCTAAAGAGTCGCTCAGCATTATGGCGTGAGTAGGCTGCTCCTTTGCCAAACAGGCCGGACTGAATCTTGGCACTCTTTGTACCTGTACAGAAAAACACAGTGTGTCTTCTTGATAAAGGCAAAAGCAGGAAAGATGCTTCAGCACAAGAATCCTCAGAGTGATTTAACCACCTTCCCTCTCATGACCAAGGGCAGATGGCAAAATGAACCAAAACCACATGGGAGGTTGGCTAGCTACTCCTCACTCACCAGAAAATTATATAAGGAATATTTATTATTTAACATACATGACCCACTAAAAAGATAACAGAAGTCAAAACAGTAACAACTAATTGCACATTTGTTCAAAATCCAATTAAATCTTTTTAATTAATTCAACAAAATTGATTAAATTAATCCAGTGATACCAGCTTTTCTGATAGTAATTGACCCCTCTCTGCCTCCCCCTTGCCTCTTAGCACTCCCCTAGGTAATCCCCCCCTCCAGGAGCTGGTACCACCCACTTTGGGAACCAGTGATCAAGAAACAAATCCAACACTGAGTGTTGACAGCATACACTGCAACTTACCCAAGAAAATGTCAATCATCATATTCAAGGTGTACCTCCCTGTGTTATTCCTTCTTACTCGCTTCTCGCCACAATGCTCCTGGACAAACCTAACAATGTTTTTCACATCTTCTGTCACGTTCCGTGGTTTATAATCCTAGCAAAAACAGTTTTGAGGAGGAAAGATTGATTTGTTGCACTACACCTGACAATACAGTATTGGCCCCAATTAGGATACCCTTCCAAACTCAAGATATACAAGCTAAGTGAAGTGTTAGCTTAAATCTGAGAGAGTAATCTGAAGGAAATACAAGAAAAAACAAGTCATACATTGAAGAAAACAGCTGGAAGTCATTGTCCACAAGTTGCAATCCTTAGTTTCTTCAGCCCAAAAATCACTCCTGCCCAGCCGCTACCAGAAATACATGTGGTTCTAACCTCTAAAGAGATAACACATTTTGAAGAGTTCAGAAGCAGAACTGGCTTACCTGCTTCCTGCTGCAGTTGTCACAACTGACTTCAGGGTGTTCCTTGCAAAACCTAGAGTTGAAGCCTGTTTCCCCAAAGTAGGCCAGCAGCTGTACTCTCCGGCACTCCACGATATTCTCACAGTAATGGACCATGCTGTAGAGATTGTTGAAATGTGTCTGCCGTGTGTGGCTGTTCCCATCTTTTTCCACTGAAATTCAAATAATGCACCTTTTGACTTATTACGGAACATACACACAGAGCGAGAGATTGCTTTTCCTTCTGACCAAGAATTTGCAGACATGTATGAAGAAGAAGCCAAAAGGTTCAAACTTTAAGTTTGTGAGCTGGATTCCAACCTTTTTTAGTAGGATACACAGAAGAGAAAGGAATGAGACACTGCAGCATTTTTTCTATAAAAATTGAGGAGTTTATGGGAAAGGAATTCTTCAGGAAGTTTAAAGTATTTATAGTCTCCTAATGCTAGATGCTGCACACTGCTTGTTCCAAGCAACCTAAATGAAAATACTTAAAGCCTAAAACTTGAGCGGCAAACGCCAAGTGATTCTATTGCAGGCGGTGCTTCTATGTTTTATAGCCATGATGGCTGAAGTGGGGTGCTAACACTGTTCTATGACAACAATTATAAAATTACCCCCCTCACACACACACACACACACTGAAGCCTATTCTTGCATGATTCTGGTCACAAGATTTGAGATGTCGCAGAGAAATGCTTACTAAATATGAGTCTTCTCAGCCTGTTGACATCACTATAGGTGTAGAAGAGCAGGCAGTGAGAAATTTCTCCATCACGCCCAGCTCTGCCCGACTCCTGATAGTAACCTTCAACAGATTTAGGAAGAGAGGCATGGATCACGAAGCGCACATCAGGTTTATCAATCCCCATGCCGAAAGCAATGGTTGCACATATAATCTGGAAGAGAACAAAAACAGGATTTGCATACTGCCATGGACAAACAGTGCATCACAAACACACTTTATACACTGAACTGACATAGTGCTTTCTGGCTTGATACTCTGATCGACTTCCGGCTCACCTCAAGGAGGTAAAGATGAACACACGCACACAAATCCATTGAGAAAGGCCACAGAAAACTGACCAGCTAAACAGACGAGGCCATTTGTTTTGCCACAGAAGCAAACAACCATTTAGATCTGTGCTGGCTACACCCTGTGTTCGTTTTTAATATTTCTACTTGTGTGTGATATCAGCACCTTCTGCAGTTTCGTCTCCTTTACCTGACATCCGTCCTGATTAATCCACTTCTGCTGCACATGGTCTCTGGTGCTGTCCGTGAGACCAGCATGATAGGCAAGTGCAGAAAGGCCAGAGCTCTGCAAAGTGCTGGCAACGGAGTCACATTCGTATCGGGAGAGGCAATAAATTATCCCAGAGTCATCTAAAGAAAAAGAAAAAAACAGGCAAAATATGGGAGCTGGAGTATTCAGTCCTCTCAAATAAAGTAAATTAAAAGTGACAGCGGAAGTCGCACACCCCTCTGAGCTACATTTCACAGAACTGAAGAACTTTCTGACAGTGATAGCTGTTTGATAGTGGAACAGACTCCTTCGGAAGGTGGTGGCCTCTCCTTCATTGGAGCTTTTTAAGCAAAGGTTGGGTGGCCACCTGTCATGGATGCTTTATTTGAGATTCCGGCATTGCAGGGGGTTGGACTAGATGACCCTCAGGAGCCCCTTCCAACTCTACAATTGTTTCATTCTTTGAAAAAGCCTCAATTCACACGAATACATCCTGCCAGAGGAAGGAAAGGAAGTAAACTCACTTGGGTGGTATTTTCGGATCCAATCCAAGCAGTCCAGCGCAACACTTTTGGGCTTCTTGGGCAAAACATCGTATTTCAGGTTCCGCCTGTTAAAGCTCATACTAAACCTGGAAAATATCCATCACAAGAAAAATATTTTTTTCTTCTTTAAAAAACAGTAAATTGCTAAAGGATATGAGTATCTTAAATGATATCTTAAGAAAAACCACCAGTGCCTCCTCATGTGCTTGTATGGCTCCCACCATGCCATAGCGTCTGGGCTGGACACACCAGCATCTCCTTGTATGCTGAGTAAAGGAGGCTGAGAGGCCTAGGAGGGCAGGTAAGTCATTTCTTTCTCTTAGAGGAAAGGGCCAGAAGTGGCACTGAAGGAAATAAACACACACAGGGAAGAGAAAGGAAGAGAAAGAGATAACAGATCTGTTATAGGGCAAAGAAGTCAATCTAAAGGAAATAGGCCAAAAGGATGAAAAACTAGTGTCTGGGGCTTGTGGGGTTGGGGAGAAGATTCAAGCTGAGTGTGAAAGGAAAATAGGGGGAAGATATCATAGGAGATGGGATTAAAAAACAACTTCTGGGATGCTTGGGGGCAGGGCAAGGAAAATAGAAAAATAAAAAGCCTTCTCTACCCGACTAAAAGGGGACACGGGTGGCACTGTGGGTAAAACCTCAGCACCTAGGACTTGCCGATCTCATGGTCAGCGGTTCGAATCCCCGCGGCGGGGTGCGCTCCCGTCGTTCGGTCCCAGCGCCTGACAACCTAGCAGTTCGAAAGCACCCCTGGGTGCAAGTAGATAAATAGGGACCGCTTACCAGCGGGAAGGTAAACGGCGTTCAGTGTGCTGCGCTAGCTTGCCAGATGCAGCTTGTCATGCTGGCCATGTGACCCGGAAGTGTCTGCGGACAGCACTGGGTCCCGGCGTATAGAGTGAGATGGGCGCACAACCCTAGAGTCTGGCAAGACTGGCCCGTACGGGCAGGGGTACCTTTACCTTTACCTTACCCGACTAAAATGGGACTGAATTCTGACAAAAATGGTAAGACTGAGTCACAATACCTCCAGAACAAATGCCTGCAGGTAGCTTGAGGAAAGCTGACCTATGGAACTCCTTTTCATGAGCTAAAGGCTGTGCCAGAGAATTTCCAAAGACTGATTAGATATTGCTTAGAAAAAGATGTCAGCAATTGCCAGCTGATGATGCCAGACACAGCAAATGCCACTAGCCACCATTTTAATGCTGCCTGCCCTGCGCCACCATTTTGGGCCTTGGTGGTTTTCAGCGATCTCATGTGGGCCACTGGGTATAGTAAGCTGGAGAATTCCTGGTGTAGATCAAACTTACACCTGTGGCTTCAGCATCTCCAGTTGATTCAGGACGTCCTTTTGCACCCTTGCGTTTGCGGTGGCAGTAAGAGCCATCATAGGAACAGAAGCAAATTTCTTACGAAGCATATTCAGCCGCTTGTAGTCTTGGCGGAAGTCATGGCCCCACTAGTCAAAAGATTTTTTTAAAAAAAGTTAATTTGCTTACAGATCAATTCCCCAACCTCTGACATTTCCAAAAAAGAGAAGGTCACCTGACTAACGCAGTGTGCCTCGTCAATCACAAAGCGCGCCAACAGCTTCCGCTCATAGAGATTCTCCAGGGTTGACATCAGCCGGCCACTCGAGCAGACCTAAGGAAGACCCACACCCAAGGATCCAGAAACTTTAGTGGAGAATGGCTATCACTGTATATTCGCACATAGTGAATTCCTTTCTACATCACTTTTCAGCATAAAAAGTGCTTTAGCCTCCTTATCTCATTTGCCCTCATCCACCATTTCAGATAGACTTGGTGTTGTAAAATTTAGGGTGCACACATAGCAGACACCCAGTCCACAGAAAACTAATCCTTCACCCTTCAACATTTGGAAAATTTCTCGAGAGAAATTACACACAGAACAATCTCAAAAAGCCATCTTGGCTCTCCTAAGGACTCTAGATGTTTTCTCTGCAGAGGGAAGTATCTTGAAGAACCAGTATACTTTCATTCTAGCCAGTTAAAACAAGGACAACCTGAATTTCCTATGGAACATTGCATAAAATCATTTATAACTGTATAATTCGAGTCCTCCATAATCCCTCTTGCCTGAGAACACAAAGGCAGATAGCAATCAGGGAAAGTTCCTGAAGGGATTCCTCTCCCAAATCTATGAACCTCCTTTGTGTTAATTGTCATTGTTTGCCGAAATGCTCTGCACTGAGGGATGTTGGCTGGGCAGCCTGATTGTCTCAACAAATGCTAATATTTTGCATAAACCTTGTCTGGAACTATGTAAAACTTGCTAAATCCTCGGGAATGTCACACCTTGACCTGCCTGAGCCACTGTAGCCCCACCTTGTGTGTGATGTAATTTCTGGTTTGTAAAAGGGCCAAAATGTAGCCCTTTAAAAAGAGATGTTTTTTCTTTGCGCTTGGTCTCTTTTACCTCCTTTGCAGGGAGGGGAGGGAACTCTGTTGCAAAAAAAATAAATAAGGATCTGCTTTGCTTTCTTTAGATCCTTGCCTCCATCCACTCATCTCTGAGTGATCATGAACTTAGGAGTCTCAGTCCCTTGGGGAGTTGGGCAGCAAAAAAACTAAACCCCAATTTTTCTACACCATTGATAAGCAGAGGCCTGCTCTAGTTATGCAAGCAGAGTTCATGTGTGAGCAGGGATGGAAGCCTAGCTCTCCTCCATCCAAACCTGCTGGCTTCTTTTGGCTGGTGGGCTGTATCTTATATATGATAAAACCCAATGCTGATGGTGCTTAGACCTTCTACAAACCTTCTCTGGAGTAACATAGAGGAGTTTTATGATGGGGTCTTTCTTCGACAGCTGCATGTAGATTCTGGATGCTTCAGCATCAGTCTTGTCACCTGTCAGGTGAGTTGCTGGAATCTATGACAGAAGAAGAGCTGTTTGCACTCAGTATAAAGTAGCTCCCTGTTTTCCCGAGTCAGATCTATTAGTCCATTTACTATTATCTACAAAGACTGGCAGCAGCTCTCTGGGATTTCAGATACGGTTCTCTCCCAGCCCTAGATTGAATCAGGGATCTTCTGCATGAAAAGCAGGTGCTTTCCCACTGAGATACAGTGATAGACTAAATAGATGCAACAGCAAATGGATTGGTGAATTCAACACTCATTTTACACTATTATCTACAGTAAGTCAAAAACGGTACACACAGATAATGTACTAGCTTCCATGATGTAGGCCTAAATGTGTGTCCATGCTCCCTTCCTTGCCTGCTATGGTGCTGAGCTCCTAAACTTTGGATCAACTTGAATCTGAATAACAATGCCCAAATATTGGAAATAAGGAACGGAAGATTCTAATTTGCATGAAGTCATACCCCAGAGCAAAGAGCAGAATCGGTCACGACTAATGAAGATGCAGACAACTCTCCTCATGCAAAGGATCAATGAGAAAACCATGGGCTTGAACTCACATCCATTGATGTTAGCTTCTGAACTTGATCCACTATCAGTGACCTCAAGGGGGAGATCACAATGGTGACTCCCGCTGAAACGCAAGCTGGTAGCTGGTAGCATAAGCTCTTCCCACCTCCTGTGGGAAGGGAAAAAACCAAGGATTAGTTGGAAAGCTCACCTGGGCAGTAAGCAAATGCAGGTTGTCCAGATGAGATTTAGCAAAAGCCAGAAACCTCCGCCCTAGAATATTTCAACAAATTTTCAATCTGGGTTTCAAAATTACTTTCTGCACTCCTCCAACTCCTACTAAGAATGGTTCACTGCAAACACAACTTAAGTACAGGTTTTATGATCAATGCATTAGGAATTTTAGTTCTGGTAACTTTTGTCAGACAGTGTTTTTTATTTTTTAATCGAAAATTCTCATTATGTCATGCTTTAAGAGTTGCTACACTGTCTACATAAGAACATCAGAAGAGTTGTGCTTGATAAAGCCAAAGGGGGCCCCATCAAGTCCAGCATTCTGTTCTCACAATGACCAACCAGATGCCTCTTCTGGGAAACCCGCACGCAGGATCCAAAGCATGAGAGCACGCTCCTCTCTTGTGGTTACCAGCAACTGGTATTCAGAAGCATTGCAGCCTTCAACTGTGGAGGCAGAGCACAGGCATCGTGGGTAGTAGCCCCCAATTGCCTCTGCTCCATGACTTTGTCTAGGTCACATAAAGTCTCTAACCAGTTGCAAATAATCATGCTTAATTGTTAGAGCCAGTGGGAATGCATGCCAGCTTAGAAAATATTAGCAACTTGTTTTATATCCTGTTGGAAGCCGCCCAGAGTGGCTGGGGCAACCTAGTCAAATGGGTCGGGTACAAGTAATGATTCAACTCATGGATTATATTCAGTGATTTAAATCAATTCACCCTGCATTTAGCAACCCCACACCTCCACTATGATCCAGATCTCCCCACAACCTGTTTGTCAGTCTTCAGCTTTGCTGTCCAAATGCACATTGTGTGTCCTTAAGGACAGCACCTTTCACTTTGCTGACATACACAACAAAAGGTTGTGGCACTTCATCACCTCAGGAGGCAAAAGGTCATCTGCCAGAAGTCTCCCACACCTTTTTACTCATTGCACGCCTTCTGAAAACCTCCCAGGTTGCCAGACTAGCCCCCTAGACCACATGCGGTTGGCAGGCACCCTTGCCATCACACACCTGTGGGCATTAAGATGAAGCAGTCTTCGCCCAACAGAGCAGCATTGATGGCTTCAAGCTGATTCGTCCGGAAGTGATGCAGACCAAATCTTTTGTGAAATATCTTCATCATTTCGTTAGAATGGGGAAATGCTAAGCCTCTGAAGTGCTCTAGCAATGGATTTCTGGAAGGTGAATTTTTAACCTGTGGATCTAGAAGAAAACAGGTTACCAGAATAACTAACAATTGCTTGGTTTTTGTGTGTGCTCTGTAGCATATCAACAGCTTACTCTTAACCCATTTTGCATAATTATATTATAAGTATACTAGTGGAACTAGATAGGTGGAGTGTGATCCTCAACTGTGTTGGCAATGCAAAATCAAGAGCTGGGAGTTATCCTGGATTCCTTAATAATATAACTATAGGACCCTGTGAAATCTAAACTCAAAGTTATGCTTCTGGTCTCACTGAATGTAATTGATTCACGCATCTAAGCAATTTTCGTCCCCACTATTTACAACAGCAGAGTTTGGCACCGGCTTAACTCTCACTTTGGACATGACCCAGTGAATCTTTTCAAAATTTATCTTCGAAACAAAACAGTGTCGGGCAGCAAAGCTGACATTTCACAACAGCAGCCCTAACCCCCACAGAAGCAGCAGCAGCAGCACAACCACAATGCAAAACCAGAGAACGTCACTGCTCAAGTTAATGTGAGAGCAAATTCCTGCTGTTTGAAAAGGAAAATGCTATACACTCCCTACAGCAGAATTTGGTATTGGTACAGAAGAAAAATCCTGTGTGTGTGTTTGTGTGTGTGACATTTCTCAAAGTATTTCAGAACTCAGAAATGCAGTGACAAAAGTGTGACCTCGTGAAGGAAAAGCAAAGCTGCTACCAAGTGACTGTGATGAAGCAATGAATAGTATTCCCATTGCAACTCAAGCAATGTGTCAGATTAGTTAATTACTCTCTACACAATAGCTCCCTGGCACAACTAGCTTCTGTGACAGAGAATTAGCATAATTTACCCAAGCAGTTCTTGGCAGGCGCACCTTGGCAGTTTGCTCTGGGAAAAATAGGATTTGAAAAATGACCATTTCCCTTAGGTGTAAGGGAGCTTTTTTCCAGGAATGGTTTGGCAGGCTGTGCTTCCTCAGCACGCTGGTAGCAAGTACTAGGTGGCTGTAAAGTTGAAGTGTTTATTACGTTGTCCAACTCATCAAAGTCATCAATATCAAAATCATCATCAAAGGCCACATTCTCTGTTGCTGAGGAATTCTCTCTCAAATTACTTTGAAGGAGAGTGAGTTTCTCTTGGTCTTGATTCCCCTTTGAACACAGCCAACCCTTTTCTCCCCATTCTGTCCTTGGGTTTTTGATGGAACAGTTCAGAGAGGAGATTCTTTTCTCGACTCCTCTTTTAGAAAGAGACAATCCTGCATTTTCCGAGATGCTACTCTCCATAGCAAAAGTCTTGGAAAAAATTGACAGGTCATCATTACTGGAGTCTTGAGTCCTTGGTACAAAGGAGGGGGTTGAATGAAAGTTATGCTGGGGTGCAACCTTTGGGGAAGGTTGTCTAGACATGAACAATTCCCTACAAGGGTCAGTGGCAGAGGTTTTTCCCAGTTGAAAAGAAACACCACCATCCATAGATCTTTCATGTCCAGAATAAAGTTTGCAATTTTCATCCAAAGATATGCCACTGTCCTTTCTACTTCCATTAGTGCCATTCTTTAAGAGTTTTCTTCTGGAAATAAAGAAAAAATATGAACTATTAATACACAGAATCACAGAGTTGGAAGGGACCCCAAGGGTGATCTAGTCCAACCGCCTGCAATGCAAGGATCTCAGCAAAAACAAGCTTACTCCATGTGACAGCCATTTAGATATTTGAAGATGGCTATCATATCTTCTCTCAAGTCTCCTCTTATTTCAACTTTTTATAGGTTAGGTTAATAGCCAAAGAGCCAGATAAAGATGCCTTTGCTTACCAAAAAAATTGATATAAACTTGCCTCAATTGCCAGACCAGGATTTATTGAGAGCATTTATCTCAGGAGGGACACTGGTGGCAAAAAAAAGCCCCCCTTGGGGACCCGGGGGACGCTGTGGGTTAAACCACAGAGCCTAGGACTTGCCGATCAGAAGGTTGGCGGTTCGAATCCCCGTGACGGGGTGACCTCCTGTTGCTCGGTCCCTGCTCCTGCCAACCTAGCAGTTCGAAAGCACGTCAAAGTGCAAGTAGATAAATAGGTACCGCTCCGGCAGGAAGGTAAATGGTGTTTTCGTGCGCTGCTCTGGTTCGCCAGAAGCAGCTTAGTCATGCTGGCCACATGACCTCGGCCAGTAAAGCAAGATGACAGCCACAACGCCAGAGTCGGTCACGACTGGAGCTAATGGTCAGGGATCCCTTTATCTTTACCTATTTATCTCAGAGACACAAGAGATAAACAGAGTCTGTGAACACACTCTGGGTTAGTGGCATCTCAAGACAGACCTGCGATCTCTATGCTGAAGGAGCTCCTTTCCACACGACAAAGACTTCAGCTCCCATTCTGGAACAGAATCCACCAGCTTGCAGATGTCTTCCATCACACTGTAGAGGGACCATCCCAAAAGTGAATGCTTGTCTGAAATGAAACACAGTAAGGTTAAAGCACCACTTTAGTCACAATCTACCAGCAACTTGAAAATGACCTGCTTTTTCAAGGAAGTCCTTAAGATTCTCTAATCCTTGGATTACCCATGTGCTAGTAGTTCATTCTGACTTCAGTGGAATTTAAGCATGTTTGTAATTCAAAGGGAAACAAAGGAAGTTTTACAGGAAAACATGCCCACCACACAGTTCTTAGGTGTTTTTTTTAAAAACCTGAAGTCACATTGCAAAATCTTAATAGAAGCTGAAGCACTTACTACCCAGTCCTGTGATTTAGTCAGGTGCAAGGCTGCAGACAGGTCTGTATCTGAAGACCACAATGAGGTCTGCACTTTCTGAAAGCAAGCAGGTGAAGCCCCTTCAGGAGGAGTTGTTTTACCTTCCTGCCTATCACTGTTTCCATGGGTGGTTTCTCCAAAGTCTGGAAGGCTGCTTTTCAAGCTTCCAGGGGCCAGTGTTTTCTCAACAGCAGCTTCTCTGGAAACATACCTAACATTAAAAAGAAGTGGTTAAGTCATCCCGTATAAATACACTGTTGCGAATAAAGTTTTTCGCATCAGCTAGAAAACACTTCTTACTAAGCTTATTTGTTCCACCAGCATTTTGGTCATTCACTGATGAAAAAACTCCAGATCCATGATTTCACCATCCTACCCGGGCTACTTCTACCAGAGATGGTCCTGGTAAAGAACCAAGTTGTGGACTTATCATTTCCATCATACCTAATGCTTTTCAAAGAGGATGCAGAAGAAGGTATTTCTTCCTCTGGAGAGGGTGGAATGCAGTCTACGTAGTTTTCATCCTCAAACACATCATACATAGCTGGATCATTCCACACTTCATCTGGTTCCTCACTTTCATTTAGGATGAAGTCAGCATCATTCTGTGCTTTAAAACAAGCAATAAGAATATTTGACTAACAACAGTTTTAAAACACACTGAGGACAATTTTTAAAATCAATAAAACCCACCCAGTAATACATAAAATCCACCCAGAAAAAAAATCTAACAGGCACAACTTAAAAACCCAGCCACCTATCCCCCTGCAACCCCCCCCCCAACTTTGGGTGCTGTATCCCAGATGGAGATGGGCCTTCTCCATGGTGGGACCCCAGTTTTAAAACTCCCTGCTCCTTTATATTTAGCCTACTACCGTATTTTTCGCACCATAGGACGCACTTTTTCCCTCCTAAAAAGCAAGCGAAAATGTGTGTGCGTCCTATGGTGCGAATGCAGGGGGGAGGCAGGCGGCAAAAGCCCTCAAGAGCTGCACACAAGCTTCGTGCGCTCTTGCGGGCTTTTCTCCAGGAGGGAGAAGGGACTGACTGGCTGTAGCAGTCCCTTCTCCCTCCTGGGGGAAAAGCCCCCAAGAGCGGCGCCCTCTTTAAAGGCTGTGCGGCTCCTGCAGGCTTTTCTACGAGGTGGGGGGAATCCGCCCACCTCCCAGAAAACCCAGGAGAAGCCGCACCGCCCCTTTAAAGAGCGTGCGGCTTCTGCGGGAGGTGGGGGAAGCTGCAGCAGATTCCTTCCTCCCGGGCTCCCTTTGAGGCGGCAATGTGGGAGGGGAGCAGCTTACACTCGTGTAAGCAGCTCCTCTCCCACTTTCCTCCTTCAAAGCAACTACGGAGGAGGGAAGGAAGAGGACCATGGATCCTCCGCTGCTGGAGGCTTCAGCAGATTCCCCCCTCCGTGATTGCTTTGAAGCAGGAAAGTGGGAGGGGGGCAGCTTACACTCGTGTAAGCAGCTCCTCTCCCACTTTCCTCCTTCAAAGCAACTACGGAGGAGGGAAGGAAGAGGACCATGGATCCTCCGCTGCTGGAGGCTTCAGCAGATTCCCCCCTCCGTGATTGCTTTGAAGAGGAAAGTGGGAGGGGGGCAGCTTACACTCGTGTAAGCAGCTCCTCTCCCACTTTCCTCCTTCAAAGCAACTACGGAGGAGGGAAGGAAGAGGACCATGGATCCTCCGCTGCTGAGGCTTCAGCAGATTCCCCCCTCCGTGATTGCTGGGAGCTTCTCTGGGCAGGAATTCCCTCAGCTTAAGTGGGGTGGGGGAAGTGTGGCAGGTAGGGGGGTACCTACCTAGACAGTGAAGCCACATGTCTCTCCAATGAAAATTGGGAGTGGGCATTGTGTGAAGTGGCTGTGGATCTCCTGCCGCAGAAGTGTAGGACTGTATAGAGTTGGGAGGGCACCCGAGGGTCATCTAGCCCAGCCCCCTCACAATGTAGGAATCACAGCTAAAGAACGCCAGGGCAGATGGTCCCCCAACCGCTGCTTAAAAGCCTCCAGTGGTGGAGACCCCAAACACCTTCCGAGGTCATAGAATTGCAGGGTTGGAAGGGAACCCCAGGAGTCATCTAGTCCAGCCCCGGTGGACAGCAGGCGCAATCCATCCCATTGCGCAAGACTAAAGATGCTGCGCAAGGCTAAAGAAGAAGCCAAGGCAGCGAGCGGGATGGATCGCGCTTGCTGCCTTGTCTTCTTCTTTAGCTGCACTGGAGAGGTTTAGCTCCTGGCTGGAGAGGTTGCGCGGCTATGGACCCCGCACGCTGTCTTGGCTTCTTTGTTCTTTGGGACTGGGGGGGAACCCGGGCTTCCCCCGCAGCCCCAAGAAGCTCTGGGAGAAGTGGACAGGCTGCGTGCAGCCTGTCCGTTGCTCTTTGGGGCTGGGGGGGATAATATTTTTTTCCTTGATTTCCCCCTCTAAAAAACTAGGTGCATCCTGTGGTCCGGTGCGTCCAATGGAGCGAAAAATACGGTAATTACTGTGCTGTCATCTTCCTCACATGGTAGATTACCTTGAAGTGAGAGTACTTGTTTATTTTATTTATTTTGAAAAAATATATATACCATACCCTTCAGTATGGCTCTTATTGGAGTAGCTAACAAAGAATGTAAAACATAAAAACAGATTTTAGAGTTGAGCTGTGCAGAAATATGCCTAAGTCAAACTTGGTTCAATGCAGCTTACTCCCTAGGAACTTTAGCAGGGAGTTTGCAGCTCAGGCCTGCTAAACTTGGAGGTTAGTGCTACTTGAAATCAGTAGGGCAAGTGAGATTCCCAACAGTGTTGCAGGCAGTGTCGGATTTACGTATAAGCTAAACAAGCTATAGCTTAGGGCCCCACTCACTTGGGGGACCCCAAAAAATTTAAAGGAAAAACCCCTGTATGTACATTTCCAAAATATAAGATAAAAAACAAATGGAATAAAACCTACATACAGCAACAGTGTTTTGTGTTGTGTAGGCTCCTATGATGTAAGTAATGTGTCCCGCCTGCTAGCCTGCTCCCTAAAATATCACTGGTTTGCTCCTTTCTATATATAGGGTGCCTACATTCTGCATGGACTGGTTGCATGGCAGCATGGGCAAATGACTTTAGATACTTATTAGATCCATAAATTACCATATAGCATATGCTCAACACAAAAAAAAAAAACAGTGACAATTTGTTGTTGACAAAAGGACAGCTGGACATATAAAGGGCCCCATTACCTTCAGTAGCTTAGGGCCTCATCACACCTAATTCCGGCCCTGGTTGCAGGTGGCATTCCCTGTCCTCCTTGGTCTCTCCTACTAGGCAACAGAGCTCATTGATGACATCTGAGACAAGGGAGCCATGCTAAATAAGTGGCACTCACTCACCTGGTGATGGAGACAAGACTTGTTCTGCGGGTAGCAGGCAGCAGTTCCCACTGAGGTCCTCTGAGACAAGGGAGTGGGACTGAGCAGCTAGAACCCACTCGGCCTGTGATGGAAGCTGATAATGACCCACACATGGAGTATGTGTTTGCTATTGGTATAGAAGATCTTCATTCAAATTAGTGTGCATAGTATTTTTTCCTGCCAGAGGAGTAGCCTGCCTATCTGAACGCATGGTATTTCTTCAGAACAATTAACAGGCAGTAAATTAACAACTCAAGATAGATAATATATTCTCACAATCAAAGCCGCTGTGTTTTGATGACTCTAGGACCTTTTTTTTTTTCCATTGAAAGGATTTACACCCTGGAGTAGGGTGTAAAACACAGGTGCTCATAAGAACAGAATTCTGTACCTGGCAGATGTTCAGTGGCACTGTATTTTTTTGCTATGGGGGGGGAGTCAATTGCGCTTTTGGTGAAAGCATTTCCCCAACATTCTCTTTTTGCTGTTAACTGTGGAAAGTTTTTCTCTTCCTGGAGTACTGTATATCTTGAGAAGAGATACTCCTGCAAGGGTAGGGAAGCAACAAGGCTTTGGAAATAAGTCCACTATCAAATCTGATTTGTGATGTCTGGTTGACTTAGTTCATAGTACAAGGAAAGCAATGTGTTGCAAGGGCACCTCAAGCATGTCACGTGACAACCTTTTAAATGCTTGAATTGTGTGTTACAGGCAGCACAGGAGTGGACACTTGTTTTAGGAATCCAACAGGTTCTAATAAGGCTCCAGGGCCTTACATTTAACATTTGTATTGACCTTCTGATTGCTGTAGATAAGCTGGAGTCAACGAGTGGTTCAATAGGCAGCATAGTACAATCTGTTGTGCAAGTTAATCACCAGTTTAAAGGTCAATTCACTCATTTATTTTTGACTCTGTTAAGGTCCTCATGTAGTGTCTTTGCCATTCCATTTTCATGCACAGAACCATTTTTGAATTTTAAAAAGCTCCCTTGTGAATGAATGACTTACAAATTGCCATATCATGAAATCTTAGCGTATCTTCTGTTCAGCCCAGATGCTGAGTTTCAGCTCCAAGGGCCTTATGGAGGTTCCCTCTTCGCAAAAAAAATATGGTTACAGAGAACCAGGCAGAGGGGCCTTCTTGGTATCTGTGCCTGCCGTGTGGAACACCCTCCTGTCAGATGTCAAACAGATAGACAACTATATGACTTTTAGAAGACATTTGAAGTTTTTAATGTTTGATGTTGTTCTGCATTTGACGTTTTAATTGGTTGGAAGCCACCCAAACTGGCTGGGGCAACCCAGTCAGATGGGTGGCATATAAATATAATTATTATTATCATCAGTGGGATTGCTTTAGATGGAATTCCTTCTTAAGTGCTTGAATAAATTAGACCTGTTTGTCACAGGCTGTTTAGGTCGTCTAATGCACTTGCTTCTACATCCTGACTTCTTGCTAGAGCTGGGAATGTGACTCGCAGAACGAATTCTTTTCGTCTTGCAAGGCACCACTGTACAAGCCTGAGGGAGGACTGTGAGGTAATAGGATATTGTTTGTCGGAGTCTTACAGTGTGTACTAGACACCTATTGGTTGGCAAACAAAGCCTATGAACAAAGGGAGTTTTGCAATAAGAACGGTGATGAGTGAAACTAAACACCTGTGAGGCCATCTGTTGTGTGGGTTTAAGTATTTCGTAAAACACTTCATGCATACCTGGCTGTCTTCTTGCTCCTGAGTACTTTTGTGATACTCTCTCAAGGAGGGCAGGTACAGCTTCTGTGAGGTTTACTGTTTGCCAACCGTCATAAACGGGATGAAATGTATGCCTTAGTAATGAATGTCTGAGAAAGGCATGTAATACGGTTGGTAGTTATCTTGTGGTGGTAGAGTTAAGATAAGCAGACCATATAATGGCTATAATTTGATGGTTGCCGAAACTCTCTGCACGGTAGTGATAACTGCGTAGAGTTAGTCCATTGTATCCTCACGCCTTGAGGGCTTGGGTATTGCCATGTCTCCTGCACTTCCACACGCCTCATCCAAAATGAGAAATGTCGCCTTTGAACATTACAGAAGTTTAGAAGTGATCAGATTGTTGCACAATTAGAGTCACCACATGTTAATTTTTTCAAGGGGACTTTGTGCTGTAAATAGCTGGGCGATTCCATCCTAACTTTTCTCTTGATACAAGATTTTGCATGATGGGAGGCAGCTGCCTTGGGACACCTTTCTGTATAGAGTACACCATCATCAT